TCGCTTCCGGGACTGCGATTGTGGATCTTGGTATCTTGGGGTTGCTGGCCAGGAACGGGCTGGGGATTGGTTAGCCGGTGGTGAGCAATTACGTTGTGCATTGCCTGTTTATATATATATATATATATTTTTTTTTTTCTATCATCATCATTGTTCTCATTTTATTACCATTATTAAACTGTTCCTATCTCAGCCTGCGAGTCTCCCTTCACCTCTCTAATTCCCTCCCCCATTCCCAGCTGGGGAGGGGGAAGGGAGAGTGACTAACTGCAGTGGTTGGTTGCCGACCAGGCTCAAGCCATGACACACATCATGCAAGCATTTTTGAGATTTCAGGGGTTTTTTCTCATTTCAGTGAAGCCAGAGTTAAAATCTCAAAAGAGGGAGAAAAGGAAATTTTGAACCAACCAAGAAGAAAAAGCTCTGATCGGTTTGAAATATTTCATTTAAATGATTTGATATGTTATTTTGATTGTGTTCTTTTCTTATCATTTCAAACATATGGTAAGTTTCTAAAAGAAAAATGTCTTCAAAGAACAGAAATTTCATTTGGAAAACAGTAGAATAAGATATTTGACAACTTTTTTTTTTTTTTTTTTTTTTTTTTTTTTTTAACATTTTGGGTCCTGAAATGCACTGAACAGTGGCTTTCCTCTGAACAGTTTCACTTTAGACAACTTTGAGCTCCAATTATGTGGCCTAAGGTTATAAACCCTTAGTCACTGTTGTGTTTTGGGCCTGGTTGGCAGCCAACCACAGTGGAGCAGCTCTCTCTCCCATCCCCTCCGGCAATGAGAAGGGACAGAGAGCCAGGATTGGGGTCCGAGATAGGACTGGGATGGGGAGAAAATCCCCCTTTATGATCACAAGCAAAAGGCAGACTCGTTAGGGGAACTAAAAAAAGAACATACATTTATTACAGACACTAACAACACATAACAGAGTAGGACAGTGAGAAGCATTGCCACACCTTGAGAACACCTTCCCCCCACCCCTCCCTTCTTCCCAGGCTCAGCTCTGCTCCCAATATCTCTACCTCCTCCCCCAGTGGCGCAGGGGCAGGGAATGGGGGGTGCAGTCAGTGTTGCCACTTCTCTTATCTTCGGTGAGGGGAGTGTCCGGAACTTGTTCCCCCTGCTCCATCGTGGTCCCCCTCTCACAGAAGACAGTCCTCCACAAACATTCTCCAACATGAATTCCTCCCATGGGCTGCAGCGTTCCCCACACTGCTCCATCATGGGTCACTAACTTCCTCCGACTGGATTCCCTCCCACGGCTGCAGCCCTTCCTGAGCTGCTCCGGCGTGGGACACCCCTGCATGCTTCAATCCTCCCAGCGCTGAATTACAGCAGCGGGGCTACCTTTTCCCCTGAGACCCTGGACTTCTTCAGGCACAGAACCTTGATTAACTAGGCAGGAGCCACAGGCCATAAATCAATGTCTGCTCCACCGTATATCTTCATGGGTGGCGGGGTGGGGCCGCCCTGCCGTCTCCCCACAGGATACAGGGGGGTCTCTGCTCCGGCACACCTCCCCCCTCCTTTCTTCCTCCGTTCCTCCACTGACCTTGGTGTTCACGCAGCTGCAGCAACTCCTCCTCACCAGTGCCACTGCCCATCACCACGTCCCTTCTTAAATACGCTATCACAGAGGCACAGCTGATTGGCTCAATTTTCCAAACAGAAGTGGAGCTTACGTGGAGCTGGGGGAGCTTTGAGAAGCTTCTCACAGGGGGCCACCCCTATATCCCCCTCCCCTGCCACCAAAAAAAACCACCATTCACTCAACCAGGACTGTCACACTACTAGCTCTGTTTACTTGAATGGCATTACTCAGCCAACTGACACAGTTTGTGTCAGTTCGTGGACTGGTTGTCTGAAATCCACCAGTATCAAGGGAAATATTGCTTTGACTAAAAGTTTACTAATATAAGAGGATTTTAGCTCTGAATCTTTTCAAGATAACTAAGGCAAAAAAGTATATTCAGCCTCATTTGTCTCTTATCTACATCTGCTGCTAGCAGGCATTGTGTTTAAAAAAGGAATATTTATGAGGCAGTAATTCTCATGAAACACCTTGATTTTCAGCTAGATGAATTGTACAGGTGAGGAGCTGCAGTTTCTGAATTCAGGGATCTGTGTTTCTCCTGGGGAGCTGCAGTGGATTAGTCTCTGCTAAAGTCCAAATGCCCACCCAGATTCTCACCCACTCCCCTCCTCCGGGGGCAGGGGCAGAAAATAGGATGAGAAAGCTTGTGAGTTGAGATAAAGTCAGAGAAACTGCATACCAGTTACTGTTGTGGGTAAAACTGTCCTGACTTAGGGAAAATTAATGTAATTTATTGCCAGTGAATGTAGATTCAGGTAGCGAGAAACAAAGACAAACAGTAAAACAACAATTTTCCTTTTCCTCTTCCAGGCTCAACTTCACTCCTTCAGACTCCTCCAGCTGCCCCCGGCGCAGTGCAGTGAGGGATGGGGGGGGCTGGGGTACAGTCTGTCCATAACACATCTTCTCAGCCTCTCCTTCCATCTGATACTTTTTCTCTGCTCCAGTGTGAGTCCTTCTATGAGCTGCAGTCCTACAGGAAAAAAACCTGCTCCAGCATGAGGTCTCCCCAGGCCATATTTCAGATCTTTGCTCCAGTGTGGGCTCTTCCATGGGCTGCTGGGCAATCTCTACTTCAGCACTTGGAGCACTTCTTCCTCCCCTCCTCCTCCTCTCACCTTGCCACTCACACTGCTGTTCCTCACTCTTTTTTTTTTTTTTTCCTTTCTGGCCTGTCCAGCATCTTTGCCCTTTCTTAAATATGTTATCACAGATGTGCCACATGTGGCTGATGGTCTCAGCTGTGTCCTGTGGTGGGTCTGTTGGAGCTGGCTGGAATCAGCTGTGTCCCGCATGGGACAACCTCAGCCTCCTCCCACTCCTCCCTGTATCCCCCCTGCTACCAAAACCTTGGCAGCGACACCCAGTGCATGAGCTTGTCTGTCTGCCATCCTGACAATAGGGCTTTTAGAAATAAGTCAGGGAATATACCTTTGCTATAATGCCATACAAGATAGTGTCGTCTAAGACTGTTGTGGAATTAACAAATCTTTGAATTTGACAGCATATAAAAGCCCTTCCATTATATACTAACATTTATTTATTTATCTATCTATCTATCTATCTATCTATCTATCTATCTATCTATCTATCTATCTATCTATCTATCTATCTATCTATCTATCTATCTATCTATCTATCTATCTATCTATCTATCTATCTATCTATTTATTATGAGTGTAGATATATATGTATAAACAATATCGTCCCTTTAAAATAATAGCTTTTATTATTAACTATTAAACATGCTTTTTGAGAGCAGAAGATCAGTTATGACTCGTCATTATCCCTTCCGTGATCCCATTCTCCAACTTTGAGATTTAGACTTCTTTTCTCACTTAAAGTGATCACAAACATTTATACCATGGTATGTCTTACATATTTGCATAGTCTGTGTAACATGATTGGGAGCACGTGCAATACAGAATGAAACTGAGTTACTGAAGATAGATAAAAGATGATGAATCAGCTCAACAAATCTCTTATGTATTTAAAATTAAGAAAAAGCACAACTGTACTAAGAAAGGGTAAATAGTGGTAAAATTTCAAGCAGAATGATATGACTTAAGGGCCAGAGGGCACTGTTAGAAGACTAAGAAAGTTCTAAAATTAAACTGTGACTCTATTTGAAAAATGGGGGGAAAAAAAATCTCCCATTTTTCATCCAATGAGATAGCCAAAATTTCTCACTTGATCTTCAATGTTTATAAATATTGATCCAAAAATAGGCTGACCTTGCAGACCCTCTATTTTCAGAAAGCATATGCTAAGTGAGAGGAATAAACCTTGGGATCTGGCTAGCATATTAATATACTATTGCTACAGGTATCTCTGACTACTGCATGTAGCATGCAGATTTGTATTTGTACAGACATTTCTGCTATATGTAATTGTACTTCTGAATAAGGAAGGACTATACACATGTATTTAACTCATTTGCTAAATTTATAGTATACTTAATGGCATCTTCATTTCCTTAATGTAAGTTCTGTGGTGTTGCAATAGAATCTTAATTCAGTAATTGCTAGGACATTCAGCACAAATGAATATACACATATCTCTCAGTGAATATACTTTCCTCTTTCAATGGTTACACTCCTTTCTCTCTCCTTCAGTACATATATGTATACATTTAGTAAAAAAATTTCAAATATATAAAGTAAAATAAACTTAAATGGTTTATGATACAGCAAATAGTGAGAATGCAGGAGAATTACTGTGAGTTATTTTAAAACCAGTATACAAGTAATGTTTGGAAAGACAATGAAGAGAAACTTCAGATGACTGTGAGAAGGACTTGGTCGCTGAGCTGCTTTCACAAGAGCTTGGCCTCCCAGAGAGCAAGGAGTCCATCACAAGGTTCACTTGAAAACAGTCTAAACAAAATTACCTGGAATCTGCTGTAAGAAATAATCATGATGTGTCTAAAAGTTGCATCAGTCTCAGGAATAATGCTTTTCACTTCTAACTTGCAGGAATATACCTCCCATTGTACTTTTTATGCCTCTGTGTGTGTGTGTGTGTGTACATGCATGTATGGAGGGGACTTGGGTATGGTTCTTGTTTAACACATTAGTTTGACAAGCTGGTAGAAATGGTTCTCACAAATGAAAACCAGCCTATTTCGAATCAGCTTCTTTTGTAGAGTACAAACATGTTGCTATTAATTAGTATTCCTCTGTCTTATCTTCTTGTCTCTGCAGCTATTTTAAGTTACATCTTGATAGGGAGCTTTTATTTCAGTTGCAAAGAAGTTTGATGTTAGTTATTGATACATTAGAAATTATCTCTCAATTTAAATTTTTATTTTGAGAAAAGCCTCTGAAAACTTGTAATTTAAGAAATATCAATAAAAAGAAAGAAATATCTAAACGAAAATTTGCTTTTTAGCCTTTAAATGGGGCCACACAAATTACTTTTCACCAGTATCCTCTACAGTGTTTCTGACGGGAGATAAAAGTTAAGGATTAGTATCCAGAAAATGTTCTGAACAAAGCCTATTACATTTTCTTTTCCTCTGTAGTTCAAAAAGGCAAAAGACTGACTCAGTTCAGTTTGAGGTTATATAGCTTACAAAAATGGTGGCATGACTACAATATCCTTTGGTATCATCATAAGCGGATGTATGATGTGGCATAACACATACTATGTTTTTCAAGGAGCAAGTCTAATTCTCAAAAGCAAAAATAAACCTAAAATAACATTAAACCAATAAGACAGTCTAATTGCTTAGAGACAGTTTGCGTGACTAGATTATAGTATGTCACTTCTTTTTAGATCAGTTGCTTCTAAGTAAACAGACATCCTTCAGCATCTGAGTATTTCCCTGTGGTGGTCTGCTAAGAAAAGCATGAGAGGAGATCTATCCGACATCCCTCTTCTGCTAGCTGTTCCCTGTGATTGATTTGAAGTCCCAAGGATTGCTTATCTGCTGAGATAGAGCAGCAGAGCCCATGTACCTGCCCACTGCTCTGTGCGGTGGGTCTATTGTTCTGTCACAGCTCCTGAGAGATTGCTGTGGATTCACCTTGGCTGGTGACCTTATCGGAGGTGATTTTACAAATGCAGGTTTATTTTAGTAGGATTCAAATAACTGTTTGCAAGTTGACTTTTTTCTTAACATGTTCACAGTGAAAGCCAGAGGATTATGTTTCCAAGTAGAGGTTGCTCTGGATGGGTTTTGTATTTCTGAGTTATTTCTTAATTCTCTAAGGCCTTGTGCTGTCTTCTGTGTCTCTGAAGACAGAGATTGCTGTGCCTGCAAAAAGAGGGAGTCAGTGGCTGCTCTTCAGAAGAAAAGAGTAACTACATAAATGTGCCTTTACAGTCTCGTGGACACATGGCCAAGATTGGTTATAAAGCATATCTTCTTTATCAGTATAATACAAACCTGTATGTCATCGCTGTCACAAGGTTCCAAGGTGTTCATCTGAATATATGTCTCCAATTTAACATCCCTTTAGACAATGTCATATCTATATAAGAATACTACTTTCCTTCATTATGGTCTGAAAACCTGAGCATTTTTTTCTTAATTAGTGTTTGAAATTGTCAAGAAGAAGTTCAGGGACGATAACATCAAAAATTAATTAAAAATTGTAATTTTTCAATTAGAAAATCAATTGAAAATAGATATTTTTCAATATTTAATATAGTGATGATAAGAGCATGAATGCATTTCACAGAATAGCACAGTATAAAACAGCTTTATCCTGAAGGGGAGTGGAGCACCTGGGCATACCTCCTTTCCAGATGCAGTCACATTCCCCAGGCACTTTACAGCAAGTATGAGTTAGAAGCTTGGTACAGGCGTTGCTGATGCAGTGTGGCAGTCCTCCTCATCCAGGAAGTAAAACAGAAAGAGTAGAAATACATTCCTGGGTCTGTTCATGTTGTATTAGGCAAGAGGAAAGAGGAACATGGGTGGTTGACTGCAGAGCTGAAGTGAGATGGATAGAATATGCAAAAGCAGAAAGAGAGTATATATTTTCAAAATCTAAAATAAGTAAAAGTACAAATTTAAGCACTTCAATATTATGAAACCCAGTAACTGTTCAGTTAGTTCAGAGTTAATTGTAGATATTTTTAGTTTATGAATTTTCAGTTTATGAATTTTCTGAGTTTTCAGTTTATGAATTTGCTGATATTTTGACTCCCTGACAAAATTTATAAAGGGAAAATGTCAAAAACTATCAGTTGATGGGATAGAAAAGGAGTTTTTTGTTTGTCTCAAGTAAAGGATAATAGTAGTAAGAGGGAGAAAGCTTGAAAATGCATCAACTTTCTGCTGTAATGGAGCAGCAAAAGCAGATACATTATAAAACTGTATTGACAGCCAGACCTTTCCATCACTGACCTCCTTAGTTTTTTAATGGTAGGTGGTATGTTGTGTTCTAAGTTAACTCCTCTGGTCTTTCTAGGATTTGTGATGGTATTTCACTGTAGAATGACCACAGGGATCACCCTGATCCCCACTGATCAAGAGAGGAAATTAACAGCTCCTTTCCATTACAAATTATGTGTACTGTATTGTATCTGTGTCAAGCACAAAGTAAATGATTTGACTAAAGTGACTTAAGAGAGAGAAAAAAATATTAGTGGGTCACTTATTCTATAGCTTTGCCAATGTATGCTTTCCTTTTTTTAAAAAAATAAAATTTTATTACTTTAGTCTAATTTCAGTACCTCACATAATAAAACTTTAAAGTACTGTTCTTATATTTTTATTGGTAGAACTAATAACAATTAGACAACAGCAATTCTTTTTACCATTCTGTCTGTGGTATGTATTTAACTCATGGACCTCCTACTTACAAATATTTGTATTGCTTTTGGTAATTTAATTACAACTTCATTGAAAAAGAATAATATAAATACCAAAATATTTTTATTAAATAAAAATTAATACACCATCTTACTATTGAAAGTTTAATTAAAATGAAGTAGTACAGTTTTGTTTATACATCATTTTTATCAACATTGCTGTGTGTAGAAAAATACATGTTGACAACATTGAGGCTTCATTTAGATAGAGGAAAAAACTGATAGATGGAAATTTGGTGATGATAACACCCAATACAGTTTGGTTATTTTTGAAGGACTTGGACATTGCCTTTCTATATTTTTATTGAGCATATATCCAAAAAACCTTTATCCATCTAATGTCACTTTTTAGTACTATTTGATATTAGAAACTGGCACCATGCCAAAAATGCAATGCAGAAATACAGGCTGTATGTCTTCACAGAAAAAAAAAAATGTATCTAATTGGCTCAAAATTCAAGATATATATAAAGTCAAACCTTTGTTAAAATACTGGTTCTACATGTGAGGGACTTTAGAGAAATGTACTTCCAAATCAAAATAAAATGAAAGGGAAACAACAGGTCTGGGAATACACAATCAAGACACTGATGAATGACAATTTAATCCAAAGCATATAAAAGTAACTGAAGCTATCTGAGTAGAGTTTGTGTATGTGTCTATGTATATCTTTATATACTTAGATATACACATTTATATGCAGAAATATCTACTTATAACGTTTGTATATGAGGGAGAACAAATGCAGAAGGGGGAAAACCAAGTAAACTGAAGGGATACAATAATAGAAGTGGTGACCGTCTTCAGGTTTAAAACTGCAGGTACCCTGGGTTGATTTCAGGAACATGCATTCAGCTACATTTTTTACATCTAGTACTGCAAATATGACAGTCAAATATAATTCAGTAGTACCTGTATTTTCTCAGATCTTCTTGCTTTCACCTACAGTTAACACAGCCGAGTAAGCTGGACTCGTGCTGGGGATTCAGGCACAATGATACAGCACTGGAGGTGGTTGGCTCGTTTCCTCTGGCCATCACCCAGTTCGAGGTAGGTATCTTGGCGCCTGAATCCTGGGCAGATGCAGGGCCTTTAGATCACGGTCCGTATTTGATACTATTTCCATGTCTGTCAAAGAAATGGATATCTAAACCCAGGCTTGAAATGGGTATCTAAACCCAGGCTTAAAGTTAGGTGTGTCTCGCCACAGGGCATTTGTAGCTCTGAAGTCTGTTGTGGAATTAGATGTATGCAGATCATCCTTTCCTTACACAAAACCTAGACAGGAGGAGGAGCGTCGAGCTAGTTCACTGTATTGAAATCCAAGATATATGGTCTTAAATCCTTGCTCTCAATCAGGCAGTGAACTGGACCTCTGCGGGGCTGGGGGTGGGTGGGTAAGAGAGCTCTCTAACTACTAGCCAGAGGAATGGAGGACAGCGACAGCTTGCTGGCTGGGCTGTAAGAGGGGACAGTCAGGTTTCTTCAGGCAAGATGGGCAAAGCAGTCACAAGCTGTGCACTGCACCAAAGCTAAGACATTAAGCAGCTTAATGTCGTCAGAGCTGGAATGGTTGTACACGTGCCTGGCAGCAAAGCTGTACTGTTAGCAATTTAGGAGCCTCAGGAGCCTGGGCACCTACAGCAACAGGCAGCAGATCAGAGCAAGTGTTTGAAGATGTACATTTTCATCAAAGACTTTAAAGTGTTCATAGGAGGCAAAGATGTATAATATGTCTAAGCCTTGTCTTTTTCCCTTATTGTCCTCTATTTATGAACTCTCTCTAAAAACATTCTTTGAACTCCATCAAGGAAATAACACCAGGCCTTAGCAAAGGATTTCCTGGTGTCCTCCAGGAGGAACCAAAAGATCTGTCCCTCACAGCCACTTGTGCTGCTGGAATTTCATGAAGTTTCTTTAGGTTATGCTTCACAATGTGTCTATGAAATAGGGATGTTGGCAAGGTCATTGCACAGAATTTCATATAGACAAACTGAGGCACATGGGGTTAAATGTCAAGGTAAACTGATAACAGCTTGGCCCCAGAACTCATGTTCTGCTTGCTTAATCCTTTTCTTTGACCATGCTCTCTGGGAGATGCAAAGAATTATAGTTACCAATTAACAGATTGGTAAGAAGTACAAGGAAGTTAAAAGAGTATAAAAAAAGAATGTGTGACAACCTTACCTGTCTTAATGAGTGAAATTTTCAGTAAAACTTTAAGGTTCACATAGGAGTTTTCTAACCAATACATAAAGAAGTCAATATCTAATAAACTGACAGCACCAATTAGATCTGCAGTTTGTAGCATAACTGGTTTTTACAAATCATGGTGTGTTAAAGTCAGTACAGGTGGCTGCATTATTAATTTGGTGAAAGGGCTGGGAGGATCATGAAGGCAAATATTCAAGGGAGAAATGTTTGAATTGTTGGAGGAGAAGAAAACTAGGGATAGGGAAAAATTTCTAGTCACTCTTTTTCCAGTTTAAAGAATTCCAGATGCTCTATAAGCATTCACATATCACTTCAGTGAATTATGCAAATGTAATACAAAGCAACATGTAGTCTAGTATGGCTCCTTTTTTAGATACTCATACTCAGAAAAAATTAAAATATTGCCGACTCTTCCTTTCAGCTAATATATCTTACAGAACAGAGGGTAAGTGTAGACGGTTAAATATACCTGAGGCAAGAAAATAAGGAATATTAAGCTGAGAATGATTATGCATCTAACTCTAAGACAAGCCATACACTCCATTCTAACCCACTTAAAGATGATGGATCAATTTGTACTTCTTCCAGGCCAGAAACTTCCTGTGGGAAGCTATATACTGAATGCAAACAAGCATTCAGATTTGAGTTAAATTTAGTGGTGGTCAAAAACCAGAATTACGCAAACAGGAGTTTTGCAGTCCATCTAACCATTCAGGCAGAGCTCTCTTAAAAGCAGGGCTTTGGTTTTGTTTTGTTTTCTTCCCCAGGGGCATGCTTTTTCTTTTTTCTCATTCTGCATCCCCAGCTGTTGGTTATCAAATCTATGTTGAAGAATTTAATGAATAGAAGTCTGTGGGGAATAACTTGATAAGAAGTTCATGTATATCGAACACTCAAATGGTGTTGTGCAATGACTCAAAATCTTATCAGTAGTAACATATTAATAGTGGCACATTTTTTGGAAGGCTTTACTGCAAAGGATGTAAACAGGCTGGGTACACTGAAGAGAACTTGACCCCAGCCCCTGTTTCTAATGTGATAATTTCCTTTTTAGCCTGATAGCAGTTTCCTAGTTCCATACTTTACTCAGCAGCCCAATTAAAAAAAAAAGCAGAGGTTTAAGAGGTTGAAGGGACTTGGAAATATAAGACATATTATCAACATTTTCTTGGGACATGAGGTCAACAGTAATAGTTTAACTGGTGTAACAACTGCCTGTTTTAAAGTGACTCATGCTTGAATGATAAAAATACTCAAATATTAACTACTGTTCCATGTGGCTCTGTCTTAAACAAAGGGTGTCGTTCAAGGGCCGTAGGATTGCCAGGCAAGGAGGGCTGCATCCCACATGGTTCTGACCCTGCTCTTGGAGTGATGCTACAGAAAAGGCTGCATGTTTCTCAACCTGGGATGCTGGTTATCTGCTAAGGAAAAAAGAATATATCAGCAAACATGATAATGTAATTACTAATATATTTTTGATTTCTTGGGCATCAGTTTCCTGGATATGGTGCTGATCTTGAGAAACACTGAAGACTCATAGAATGAGGTAGAAAGTGTTGGGTTATATTTATGTACCTGTAATTTCATCAATTCAGTTACTAAAGCAGAGTCCATAGAAAGTGAGGAGTAATTCAACAAAAGCAGAAAGAGTAATGATAAAAATATTTTTTACAATTATTTTGTTGCTGTACTTTTCTGGGCTGATACAAATAATTTTGGAGTCAGTTAATGTTGTGGTTTGGGCGTGGTCGGCAGCCAACCACCACGCATCATCTCTCTCTCCCTTCTCTTCTGGCAATAAGAAGGGACAGAGCGCCAGGCTTGGGGTTCGAGATAGGACTGGGATGGGGAAAAATCCCCCCTTTATGGGCACGAGCAAAAGACAGAGTCATTAGGGGAAGAAAAAAAAGAGCATACATTTATTACAGACACTAACAACAACACATAACAGAGTAGGACAGTGAGAAGCATTGCAACATCTTGAGAACACCTTCCCCCCACCCCTCCCTTCTTCCCGGGCTCAGCTCTGCTCCCAATATCTCTACCTCCTCCCCCAGTGGCGCAGGGGCAGGGAATGGGGGGTGCAGTCAGTGCTGCCACTTCCTTTATCTTCAGTGGGGGGAGCTTCTGGAACTTCTTCCCCCTGCTCCATCGTGGTCCCCCTCTCACAGGAGACAGTCCTCCACAAACTTTCTCTGACATGAGTCCCTCCCACGGGCTGCACGGTTCCCCACACTACTCCGTCATGGGTCACTAGCTTTCTCCAACTGGATTCCCTCCCACGGCTGCAGCCCTTCCCGAGCTGCTCCGGCGTGGGACACCCCCGCATGCTGCAATCCTCCCAGCGCTGAATTACAGCAGCGGGGCTGCCTTTTCCCACAGGACCCCATCCTTCTTCGGGCACAGCACCTTGATCAACTAGGCGGAAGCCACAGGCCATAAATCAATGTCTGCTCCACCGTAGATCTCCATGGGTGGCGGGGGGGGCCGCCCTGCCGTCTCCCCACAGGATACAGGGGGGTCTCTGCTTTGAAACACCTCCCCCCTCCTTTCTTCCTCCGTTCCTCCACTGACCTTGGTGTTCATGCAGCTGCAGCAACTCCTCCTCACAAGTCCCACTGCTCCTCACCACGTCCCTTCTTAAATACATCATCGCAGAGGCGCAGCTGATTGGCTCAATTTTCCAAACAGAAGTGGAGCTGGCTTGGAGCTGGGGGAGCTTTGAGAAGCTTCTCACAGGGGGCCGCCCTGATAGCCCCCTCCCCTGCCATCAAAAAACTCCACCATTCACTCAACCCAGGACAGTTAAAAAATTTCTCTTGACTTTGAAAACTTCCATTTGAGCTTTGGGTTCAGCCCAAGGACTGCAGACCAAGTATTTGCTTAGGGTGCTTGATCTAGGCCTTTTGCTGTACAGAATGTTGTTTCAGGCTAACTGCAGTCACTGGCCATTCAATTGTCCGTCTCTATGCCACTGTCTTCCTAAATTCCTTTGGAATTGAAAGGAAAACTGCCACTGATGCCCATGGGCATTAGAGTAGGTCCTTTGTACTCATCTGTCACTGCATTCATAAAGAGTCAAATGTGAGTTTTTCTCTTTTCTTTTCAATGAGAGACAAGAACTGAAGTTTGTGACTGCCTCACAGTGATATGGTCATAATTTCAGTTATTGACCAGTCAACAGCCCTTAAAAAAAAGCGGGACCAAGAGGGATATCGAATACAGGTTAAATGTAATGTTTAGTATCAGAGCTGAGAACTGAAGATGTTCTGGAGATAAAAAGGCATGTAATTTAAAAATGAGAATGACAGCAACCCAGAAAATTGCAATCCTGCTTGAAATTACAGTTATAATCACTGACATATTTTCTCATGTGGCCTCATTTTGCCTTCTTACACTTTCTGGACTAATTTATATTCGCCAATTTTTCTTCGTGAATAGTTTATGTAAAAAGAACAGCTGTTCTCCAAATATTAAGGCTAAATTCTTATTGCATCATCTTAGTTGTTCCATGGATGTCAGTCAAGCTGCCCACATGAATGAATGAAGAGTGTTTTTGTGTTGATATTGATTGCCATAGGACTGTGATATTTTTTTGTGGCTTGTTAGCTTTAAGTCTAGATTAAATATAATGTTTATTGATGCTATTTTTACTATAAAGTTGATAATTTCTTCTATCTTTCATAATATACGGAGTGTTTGTAGTACAAGAAGGAATGCAGTGGAACTTTTGAGTTACACATTTCAGGACGGAAGCTTTGTAAACCTTTTGAAGTCTTAGAGAGTTAAGGTGCATTCACACTATCAAATTATGACACTTGTTTATTGTCTTCATCAGGTCCCAGAAGTATTATCTCTTGGGTCTCAAATTCTAGTGGCATATGGAAACTACTGATGGATTAGCTGGTTATCAAAAGTAGCTTTGCATGCTCTGGAAGGCTAATGAAGGTAGCAATGATATTTTAAATCCCACACAAAAGAAAACCAGCTCTATGAAAAGTCATGTGTAACTGGTTAAGTTATAAAGCATCAGAACAACACATAGATTTTGCACTTGTTCATCTTCTGAACAAGTGTAAACAGCAGAATACTGACTGGAATATAAGCAGTATGTTAACTAAAACAGATTAGGGACCTAAATAATGAAATTAGTATAACATTTAAGGAGAGAATGTTTATAGCAAAATATTTATGCAAGATT